TGAGTGTTCAAAAATGTGAGCCTGTGGGGAAATTCACTCAGACAGCTGTGTTGTGTGCCAAGAGCCGTGAAGGAGACGAGAACTTGGAGCAGAAAGGGAACCAGGCAGGGACGGAGCTGGGGCCTGGTTTCCCCGAGGGGGACTTAAGTAGCCCAGACCAAGCCTCTGGGTCCTTGGCCTTACTCAGAGGTCTTCTCCTCTGTCTGCCTAAATGCTCTGCCTTCTAGGAAGTTCCTCTTCTGCTCACCAGAGGTTGGGGTCCTGGCTACTGGACATGACCTGTAGTGTCATCACCCTGAAACACCTCTAAGGTGGGCAAAGCCACTATTTAGAATCAAGACTGCTGGGAGCTTGCAGTTAGCCAATGCTGTACTAATATTTAATAATCCCTTTAAAGAAACAGAAAAGAAGCCGGGCAGTGGTGGCACATGTCTTTAATCCCAGCACTCGGGAGGCAGAGGCAGGCAGATCTCTGTGAGTTTGAGGCCAGCCTGGGCTACAGAGTCCCAGGAAAGGCGCAGAGCTACACAGGGAAAACAAACAAACAAAAAAACCCCCAAAAAACAAAAAAACAAAAAACAAAAAACAAACAAACAAACAAAAAAAGAAGTGAAAATGAAGTCCCCCAATTACCTCTGGTTGTTGAATCTCAGTGAAGCTGATGTCACGGGCATCAGACTTGGTGTTGCTCCAGCAACAAAGGGGTGTCTCTGCTTGGATGGGGCTGTTCATGGGCAGAGGGGAGGGGAGAGGAACTGAAGTAGATAATGGTGAAGTAGAAGGAGATAGTAAATTCAGCCCAGCTGGCTAAAACCAGACCTGTGCCTGGCCAGGCAGGCTAATGCCACATCTGGGCCGTTGAGAGTAGGGAGCTCAGCTGGGTCAGATGCTATAGAATAAAACTCCCAAATCAGGCCAGAGCATGAGCAGAGGCCTGAGCAGCTGCACGGATCTTCCGACTGAATACCCAGAGGTGGAGGCATAGGAAGGGGTTGGTCTAATGGGCAGAAAGCAGATGGGAAAAAAGTGATGTGGTCAGGTACGGTGGTGAGAAGCCAGAGAGGGGTCTTCCCCAAACTGTCATTTTAAGATACATCTGGCCAAACATCCCCATCTGAGAGTCTCCAGAGACGCTTATTACAGATGTTGTGCCTACTAGCTTTCTCCCAGCACCCATCAGTTCCCCTCCCACCAAGCTTCCTGGCCATATAAATCTGCTTTTTTTCCCCCTAAACTGACCTCTGACCCCTGACCTTGACACCTGGCTTAAACGACCTCTTCCGCTTGGCATGGCCATCATCGCCTCCTTTCTGCCTTGTCTTCTGTTCAAGCATTAGAGCTCCTGTCTCTTCCTGTCCATCGATGCCCTCATCCAGGGACCTTGCTCATTTTGGTATCCTAAACACCCAGGCCAGAACCTTGTATGCACTATGTCTTCAGTCTGTTCTTGGAAGTGGACAGAATGGCCTTCAAGGTCATCTAAGACTGACATAGAGACACGCATGTGACGTGCTGGGGGTTCTTGGAGCAGCATGCATGCTGATATGGGAAAAGACAGAGTCTTCCACCGGTCCTCATACAAAGTGACCTTGTCTCTTCAGGGGCTTGTCCTCCTGTGTGGACACAATTATATATGGCTATGGACTTTATCTTGGCTTAAGGAATCTGTCTCAGTCTCAGGAGAAGCATGGTCTGTTGTTGAACAGAAGAGGAATGTGGGGAATTCTGGCTAAGGGGCATATAGATTTTATAGCAAAGGTTAAACAACTAGAGAGAGAACAGAGAACATTCAGGTGAACTCTTCTGGGGACAGTTATCTGGTACCAAAAACTCTACCAGGTATGACTAGCCTGTGGCCAGTATGGCTATAAATATGTCCTAACACAAAAACATAAACTCACTTAAAACATTTTCAATAGTTTGCTAACTTGATTGCACTATTCTCAAGTGTGAATTTTGTAGGTGGAAAGGCCATATTCATCAAGGTGATCCTTCACAGATTCCCAGATTCTCTCAGACTAGGCCAACTGGCCACTCTGTCTGTCCCTGGACACTGTGGTTAGGGTGGTCCTGGTCTGGGTCACAAGTCCCATCTGATGATGTGTAGAGGAGTATGATGTGCTCACAGGGGAGGCTGTCACCTGATCTGTCACTGGGGCCCCATCTAAAACACACAGGATGAGAACAGGCGTATGTGTTCTTAGACCAGAGAATGGAGTGTGGGACTATGCAGGCAGAACTGCAGACCTCCAGACCAGCCTTTCCTTCTTCCTGGTCTCCATGACTCTTCTTTCCTAAAGCTCCCAGAAAAGAAGTTCAGCGGGACCTTATTTTAGGCATCACTGTGTGTAGAAGACCTCTCCTCACCTCTTCCACTCAGTACACAGTCTCTGTTCTCACAAGTCTCCCTCCCCAAATGGAACTCCTACAAGGCAGGGGCCGTCTGCCCTCTGAATCCTGAGTACTGGGGCCAAGGCATGTCACAAGTGGTGTGTGTTGAATGAGTATGGGAATGGATGCATGAACATTTCAGGACTGTGTCCCAGGCTGGCCTTGACCTCTTGCACCCACAAAACATCTGCACTTAGAAACGCTAGAGTTTAGGACAAAGCCTGTGCTGTTTAGGGGCCAGGGCTGCTGGGGCTGGAGTTCCAGGTCGCTCATACAGACTGAGTGTGACTGTATGAAGTGACTTCACCTTCCCTGGAGAAGCTGCCATGGCCCTGAAACGTGGCCTCAGCAGTGCTCCCAAGCGCTAAGGATGGAGTCCCCAGAAGGCTCCTGTCAATCCAGTGCTAGGATCCTGGTTCTCTTCCCCCTTCCTCTCTCCTCACAGCCTCTTGGCCCCTCATTGTGTTCTTCCCTTTACCTTTCTCCTGTAAAACCCCCACACCACCGCCATAGGTGGAATCTTTAAAACCTGATTTCCACAGCACTCATGCCGTGAAAACCCCAGGTAGTCGTCAGTGCTTCCCAGGTCAGTTGTAAGTTCTTTAGACCGGAAGTGAGCTTTTCATCTCTGTCCCCCCGAAACACATGCAGCCAGGTGGACCCAGCCTCTCAGGCCTGTACCCGGAGTGTGACCTACCTCCCACCGGCCGCTTGAACCTCTCTCCCCATTGCTTGCTCTGTCCACAGCCTGTGGGGACCCTCTCACGTTTTCTTTCCTCATAAGCATGCTCTTCTTTGAAGTCTCCGTATTTCTAGAAGAGTTTGCCCGATCTCTCAGACCTCATCGGAGAAGTTCCGTTGTGCAATGCTGGCGGTTAACGGAGAAACTCACAAGTGATCAAAATGTAGAGGAAGTGTTTATGGAGTGCTCAGCCAAAAACAGGATATCTGTATCATCCCTATACACACACACACATACACACACACTCAGACACACACAAACACACACATACACACACTCAGACACACACAGAGACACAGACACACACACAGACACACACACACATAGACACACAGACACAGACACACACATAGACACACACAGAGACACACACACAGACACACACACACACTCAGACACACACAGAGACACAGACACACACACATATACACACAGACACAGACACACACACACTCAGACACACACACACACATACACACACACACACACACACACACACACACACACACACACACACACACACCTCAGGAAACATCACGGGGGAGGGCATGAGAAGACTGCGAGCCACAGGTCAGGAATTCCAGTGTTGAACCGTCACAGCAGCTGTGGTCGCCTGTCTAAGACTCGCGCAAGATCAAGCCAGTTAACATTCCCGCATGAAGCAGGAAAGGCTCATGAACCCTCCCCTGAATGGAGGCTCTAATTACAGTGAAGGAGAGGGAGGGACAGTTTTTCTTTAGGGGTTGTGGCCTCAGGTAGTCAGCCATGCTCCAGGGCATGGTCCAGACCCAGGGGTATACGGGCAGCATAAAATGGATCTGGTAAGCTATACATTTTTTAAAAGAGGACATGAATTTGGGAAATGGAATGGGGGTGGGTAGGGCTGGATCTGGGAGGAGTTAGGATGAGTGGGGGTGAATATGATCCAAATACAGCAAATGTACACTTGAAATTCTCAAAGAACTAATGAAAACATTATACTAAAAAGGAAAAGCTGTGCCTGTGTTTGTTTTATCAACCACTCAGTTAACACTGGCTTCCCACTGCTTCGTCCAGTCTTCATTTCCCCGTTAGAATCCCTACGCACCCACAAAGTGCTGGGCACACATCCAGGGCACAGTACGTGAGAGCTGAGTGAAAACTGGAGGGAGGGGCTGGGGAAACGGCTCACCAGTAAGTTCTTACAGCACGGGTGGGCTGTGCTGGGAGGGGAGGCTGGCAGATCACCGGGGCTCATCAGTAAGTTCTTCCCACATGAGTGGGCTGTGCTGGGAGGGGAGGCTGGCAGATCACCGGGGGGCTCACTGTCAGCTTCTTACCACACTGGTGGGCTGTGCTGGGAGGGGAGGCTGGCAGATCACTGTGGCTCACTGTCTACCAGCCTGTTTGAATCACCAAGGTTTAGATAACAGCAAGAGACCCTGTCTCAAAAAACAGTGGATAGTGACTGAGGAAGATACCTGAAGCTTGGCCCAGGTCTCCATACAAATGTGCACATATGTGTACATGGACCAGCACACGCATTTACACCTGAGCACACTACCCAGGCACACACAATAAACAAGCAAATAAATAAAAACTGGACATCCTGTGGCCTGGAAGGGGTGAGTGGACAGTGTGGCTTCAGAAGGCTTTGCTTTTTTTTTCAGTTTGGCTGTGGGTACTGTTTATGTCTTTTGACTTGTCAATCAACTGAACCTCATTTCCACAGTGGCAAAGTAAACGTAACCTTGCTGAGTCTACAAAGGGCAGTGATTATGTGAACACCACATTAGAACTGGGCACAAGCATTTAATGACCTTTGAAGGACAAACTGTGCACGGATCTCCTTGAACTGCAACTTAAACATTCTCCTTCTCACTTCCAGACTTGCAACCCTATTTCTCGAACGAGGGCCCAACAGGATAGGTGGCATCTACAAGAAGGCAGTTTATAGACACTTCACAGATGGCAGCTACTCCACGGAGATCCCCAAGCCCCCCTGGCTGGGGTTCCTGGGTCCCATCCTAAGGGCGGAAGTGGGCGACGTGATCGTTATCCACCTGAAGAACTTCGCTTCCAGACCTTACTCTTTGCATCCTCATGGTGTTTTCTACAACAAGGATTCAGAAGGTGATTCTTCCTTTGAAGTGCTATCCTAATTAGTCTTATTAAATAAAAACCTGGAGTCAGATATTAGGGTGAAAGCTGAAAGATCAGAGAAGCAGAGCAGCAGCCACTAGAGACTTCTTACCTCTACGAAATCTCAGACAAAATGAGGCTGAGATCCTATCTCCACCTGCCTTATATTCCTGTCTCCACCTCCTGAGTGCTGCGATTAAAGGTGTGTGTTACCACTGCCCAGCTCTGTTTCTCTTTTAGACTGGTTCAATCTCATGTAGCCCAGGGTGGTCTAGAACTCCTGATCTTCCTTGCTTCCTCCTCCCAGGTCCTGGGATTAAAGGTGTGTGCTACCACTGCCTGGCTTCTGTGGTTAACTAGTGGGTAGCTCCACTCCCTGATCTCCAGGCGAGCTTTATTTGTCAGATCACAAACAAAATATCATACATTTCCCCCTTTTTGTCTAAATAAAAAGCAAAGGTTTTAACTAACATAGAAAAACTATATACAATAAGTACAATAACTATATACAAATATATAAGGCAATAATTACATTAACAATGTGTAGTCCATTAGAATTAGACAAATTCAAAGAAAATACTCCATAATCTATGCTATCTTGGTGAGTCCAAAGTGTTGTACCTAATTTACTTTCTATCCTAACTTGCATTACCAACCCAAAACTATCTTTTTATGTATCTCAACCTTATACATGTTACACCTCTTTAGTGAGTTTCTTTTCTGAGTCTGGTAACAAGAAAAACTATAACTATCTGTTCTTCAACTCCATCAGAGACCTGAGAAGGATATATTACCTGAGTAAACAGGAAGTGCAGAGCAAACAACTTCCAAAACTAAGAAATGACAGAAACAGCTGGCTGCCTGGACAGTCACCCAAGGTTCCTCTGAAACATTGGGGCATCCCTCTTTGGCTTACAGGCCTAGAATATCTGATAGACTTATCTGTGAAGCGGGATTTTTGGAGAACTGTCCTGCCTAGTCTTGGCAAAGTTTGGCAGTCACTTTCTTTTGTGTCCTGCTTGTCCAGTTTGGACAGCATACTGTCAGCGGTCAAGACAAGGGCACTTTCTTGCCCAATGGCTAACTTTTGCCACAAGGAAAGTAAACTCTATATGGATTTTTTTCAATGCCCATCATCTTCTTGAAGTAGATTGGTGCTGCCAGGAGCAGATATGTCTCACTGGCATAAAAATACTTATGTTATTAAAATATCTTAATTACCATATTCTGTAGATCTCTGAAGTATTTGAAAACCACTTGTCTATCTAAAATATATCTCTGTTTGACCTTGAAAACATACCTAACATGACTACAAGTTTGATTGTAATAGGTAACTAACTACTGACCTGAATTTCTTTATTATCCTAAATAGTTTGTAATAATAACTTTCAAGGACTAGAACTTTACATTATATTGTTAAATGAACTGCATAGGTACAATACCTTTAACAAGAGTAGAAATGTATGTACCATATGTTCTAAAACAATAATCTTAAATTTGTATCAATATACAAAAATCCATATAAATGTAAAATATTTAAAACTAGTAGTTGCTTTTTTGGTTTAAAAGTAGATTCAATAATCTACCTTTTATCCTATCATTTCTATAACATATATACAGTATAACAAAAATAACCTCAAATTTGTATCAGTATACAAAAATCCAAGCCAATGTACACTGTCTAAAGCTAGTAGTTGCTTTTTAAAAGTAGATTCAGTAATCTACCCTTTTATCCTATTTCTATATCCCCCTTTTTCTTTTTAGAATGAGATCCCTGAATCTAATCTCCTTTGTTCACCTTTTTTTTCCTGACCATTACCAATAACAACTTGTAACCAACCATCCTAAACAATAACAAATATCCATAACTACTAAACAACCAAAAACCACCCACTCCAGCTCTTGGGAACATGGGCATCATGGTCTTAAAATTACTTCCTGCTGTCTGGGGGTGACGGCATCTTTAGGCAACACTGAAAAAACTGGGATAATTGTCAAGTCCTGGGAGAGCTAGTTATATCAGTTGTTGTCCAGTCTCCTTGTAATGGGAAAGTGCAGGGCTTATCAAGTCCTGGCTAGAGTAGACTGTGAGGCTGGATCATCATTTCAGCCAGCCATCTTGAAATTGTCCTGAGCAGTTTGTAGTCCAAAGCCAATCTTTAGGTGATGTTTGTCAGCTTAGTGGCATTATCATAATCCAGTGAAATCATTGTTGTGGGGCCTCATCATCTTTGTGGAGACTTCAGAGATCCCATTAGGTCAGATTATTCCTTTTCTTGGTAATTTTTTCCAGGTAGTTCTCTCTTCTCCTTTGGATGCTTATTTGTCCAAAGGTCTTTAAATTCCTCAAGATAGTTATTTTTATTTTTCTGGAAAGACAAAAACAAAACTCTGCCCCAACCCTAACTTTGGAGAGGTTCCCTTTTGGAAGTTATATCTGATCAAATGAAAAGAATTTGTTAGTCTTATAAATTAATTTGGAATTAATGGTCATGCTGGTTGATAAACTATCATCTCTTCTAATCAACAGATCTCTCTTGTTCAAATCTAATCTTTATAATATTTGCTTTATAGTTTCTCCTGAAATTTTTGTTTTATCTTCTAAAGCTGTTCTGTCATCCAGAGCAGTATGGTTTTTTTACAATAGGCATTAGGTCCTTTAATTGCTCTTGGAAGGAGTTTTCCCCATGGTGAATGACTGAACCAAATTTGACATGGGGGCCTGAGAGAGGCCTCCTGAGGCATTTCCCAATGGCAAAGGGTTACCCTGTCTGTCCCTTGTTGATCTGCACTAATTGGTCCAATGTCTGTCTTTGCCACACTGTCTGCATACTCCAGAAGGGAAGGGCATTCTATTTGGATTATTCCTAGAAAAAAAAAACATTGTTTCTAGGAATGCCCTCTACAGTCTCTTTTTAGGTGACCTTGCTTGTCACAGTTGCAACACCTAACATTTTGATTTTTCTTCAAGCCTCTGGAAATCACCTCTCCTATCCAAGCATCATCATGGTTATGAGATTCAACGTTGACTGTATCTCAGATCCATTCCTCTGTGGGTGCTGATCTTGCATTTAAAGGCATAATTACCCTTTTGCATTGTGAATTAGCATTTTCAAAAGCCAAAGGTTCAATTATTACTTGCCTAGTTTCTGAATTTGGTATCATTCTATCTACAGTTGAAGTCAATCTTTGTAAAAAATCAGGGAAGGTTTCTTTTGGGACCTGTATAACTTTAGTAAATGACTCAGTTCACTTTCTGACTTCTTCAATTCTGTCCCAAGCATTCAAAGCTGCTGCACGGCATAGAGCCGCGGTGTGGACATCACATAGAGACTGTTTTTGTACGTCAGTATTCCTTCTCTGTTGCTGGGGTCTTGTTTCTATTTGACCAGCCAGATAACTCCAATTGACACCACACAGGATACAAAGAGCGTGCTGATCTAATGCTCACTCTCTCTCTCTACTCTCTCCTGTTTCCCTTGTTTCTCTCCTTTATTCCCTCCTTCTTGATTTTCCTTCCCCCTCCCTTTTTTTGAGGCAAGTTCTCATAAAGCTAAGGCTGGCCCTCAACTCTGGTCCTTCTGCCTCCACTCCCAAGCGCTGGGGTTCCAAGTGTGCAACATCACACCTGGTTTATGTGGTGCTGAGGACTGAACACCAGACTTCACACATGTCAGAGGAACAACTGAGCTACTTCCCCAGCTTCCTTTCTCCTTTATTATGTTGGCCCCGAACAGGGTTCTGAGACCACCACACCCCCTGAAGCTGACCAGCTTTCCTCCATGCCCTTCAGGAGTATCTGGGAAGCACGGACAGGCTGCAAAGCCTTTCCTGTCTGTAGTCACAGCGTAGGCTGTGGGGTGGCTGTCTCAGCTGCTGCCTCTGGAGTTTCCTTTGTGCAGCATTCCTGTCCTTCTCGACTCTCAGAAGTTTCTTAAGTCCTCATTAATTTAAAAATTGAAGCAGTGTTGTGCTGGACTTTTGAGGTACAAAGATTTTCCAGAGGTCAGAAATATATATATTGTCTGTGCTGGGTGTGTGTGTGTGTGTGTGTGTGTGTGTGTGTGTGTGTGTGTGTGTAACTGTGTTAGTTTTTCATCATGGTAACAAATACCTAAGATGAACCAACTCCTATAGAGAAAGAAAAGATTTATTTTGGCTTCCAGTTGGGGAAGTTCAGTCATGATCGACTGGCCCCACAGCTGTTGGGCCTGTGGGGAGGCTGCACATCCCCGTATGGAGCACATGGTCTAGTAAAACCACTTCTCCATGGGCAAGAGGGGGAAAGGCAAGAAGAAAGAACTGAGTCCACTGTCCCCTCCAGTGACCTGTGACTGTTCCGTCACAGTCCACTGTGACCGCAAGATCTTCCGTTAGACTCTACCTCAACTCCACCAAAGGAATGTCACCTTCCCACAGGAGAACAAGCCTTCAGGGGCATTTCAGGCCCACCATGAAATGATGCCACCCACTTTCAGGTACCTCAGTTAAGCCAGTTAAGATAGTTTCTCATCGGCATGTCCACAGGCATGTCTCCCTAAATTCTATCAAGTTGACAATGAACACTGGCCAAACCATCTACCACACCACATGGCCAGGGAGGTAGCTCAGGTGACAGAGTACTTGCCTAGCATGCATAAAGCACTCTCTGATTTCTAGCACCTCAGAAAGGTGATGTACACCAGTAATCCTAGCACCTTGGAGGTAGAGGTAGGAGGACCAGGAGTTCAAGGCCAGCCTTAGATAAATGGTGAATTTGAGACTAGTCTGGGCTACATGTGCACTGTGTGTGTGTGTGTGTGTGTGTGTGTGTGTGTGTACATATAGTAAAATTATATTTATATCACAAACCCCTAAAAGCGTCTGTGAAGATCATGAGCCCCTGCCTCAGAAAAATAGATTTGTTTGAACTCAGTTCAAGGGATTACTAGAACTACTGAAATCCTCCATAGGTTCCTTCTTCAGGAAACCTTCTCCAGACTGTCTTCCAT